CGTAAAGAGCACTCCCGCCACGAGTAGGCAGTGAGTAGGACTTTCTTTTCATTGGCTGTGTACTCGTGGCCATGTCAGAGTATTTCGAGAGGAAGAGCTAACTCTCCCCGTCGTCGGTCTTACCAGGGCATTTGGGGGCAAAAAATATGAGACGCTTCACGATTTTGCGTGTCATCCCTGCGCAGGGGCCATGCTAATCTCTGTGTCGTTTCAGTTTTAGTATACGTACCACCGAAGCGAGTACCAATGCCTCATTTTGGTTGGACCTCCCAAAACTTTCTTCTAGCCTACTCCTACACCACACAACATCGCTCGTCGAAGAATTCAGTGGTTTGGTATACATAAAAGATGTCTCAAATACAGCTATTGGAGATATGCCACCTCATCAGTTGATTTACCATTCTTAACTAGCATTTTTTCCTAAACCAGGGATTGCTTACTCAGTGGTCCCGAAATACACGAACGAAGCTTCGAAAATGTGATCGGATACTAGCATTTTGCGAATATCCTTTATTTCTAATGGCCATGTTTCATATTCATTAAGTAGAACAGAGCAAACTGCTGAACAGTAAATTCGTTCTTTAGTCGGCAAACAGATATCTCACCTACCCCACAAGTGACACGAGTTGGCAAATGCCAATCGAGTCCACTAAATCTGTGCCGATATTTTGTCCACATCCTAATTTGAACATTCTTAAAAATATTTAAACCAGAACCAGAGAGGATAACATGCTAAAACACGTAGTAGCTGAGAAAAAGTAACAGTTCCCGATTATTATTATTTATTAACATCACGAATTTACCAGATAATTAAAACTTTTACTAAAAACCGTGTGCCTAATATTCGATACATAATAGTTACTAGAGTTCTTAATACCACATTCCCACGTTAACCAGTGTCCGAAAGATCTTTCCCTCTTTATCCTTTGCTCATCTACACCAGTTTAGAATTAAGGTTTTCCACTTACCTTTATTTGATACTCACTATACACATGTTCAATTTCAGCTCTTGCGGATGTTGTCTCGCTGTGTGATGATACCCAAGCCATGCAACCCACATTTAATGATTTGAAACCAGTGTCCGTAGGTATGGTATGTACTTCGCACTTCAAAAGATTGGGGGGACCCTGTGCCTGAACTCCCTCTTGTTACTGAGCAGTTGTAAGTGATCGAGTTCGTGTGTCTGGGTAACTGTGTAAGTGCTGGTGATGTGAGTGATGAGATCACTTCACGTATAGTGGAAGCCAGAACAGCTTATGCCACTCTGGGCTATCTTTAGCGCCTTCGCGATGTTAGTCTGGTTGTGAAAGTTCTGATCTACAATGCGTCGGTGAGAGCAGTTTAACTCTATGATTGTGAAACATGGACTCTGAGTAGAGGACGTCAGACGACTCTTTGTGTTTGACCATCGTTGTCTCCGAAGGATGATTGACATTCAGTGACATGTTAATAACGTGGAGGTTCGGTGACATGCGTTCGGGAACAGTGACGACAATTCATTTTGATGTCACTACATTGAAACACCGACTTCAGTGGCTTGGATTCGTACCACGAATGTCGTTCCAGAGTATTCCACATCGCATGTTATTTGCTGATACTGGGACTAGTTGGAAAAGTGAAGAGGTGGTCAGTGTGTGACTGTTGTGCAACACTGTGGCTTGAGTTGTTATCAAAAATGTCTGCGAATAAAAGCAAGTGTCGATCCTGTTGTGAAATTCTCTTACTTTCTCCGAACTTATGTAAACTCTTCAAATCCTGCTCAACTACTGCGTAACCCATCTTATCAATCTTTAGTTCCAGTACTTACTTGCTTACACCTGTTACTCCCAATGGAGCATAGGCCGTCGACCAGCATTCTCTAACCCACTCTGTCCTGGGCCTTCTTTTCTAGTCCCATCCAATTCTTGTTCATTTTTCTCATTTCTATCTCCATTTCCTGGCGTAATGTGTTCTTTGGTCTTCCACTCCTCCTTTGATCTTGGGGATTCTGAGTGGGGGCTTGCCTTGTGACGCAGTTTGGTGCTTTCCTCAATGTTTGTCCTATCCACTTCCGGCGCTTCTTCATGATTTCTTCCTCAACTAGAATCTGGTTTGTTCTCTCCCACAGCAGGTTGTTGCTGACAGTATCTGACCGACGAATCCGAAGTATTTTACGTATACGGCTGGTAATAAACACATGTATCTTCTGGATGATGGTTTTCGTTGTTCTCCAGAATTCAGCTCCGTAGAGAAGAGCTGTCTTAATATTTTTATTGAAAATTCTAGCCTTTGTGTTGGTTGCCAATTGTTTTGAGTTCCAGGTGTTCTTCAATTGTAAATATGCTGCTCTTGTTTTTCTGATCCACGCCTTCACATCTGCATCAGACCCACCGTGTTCATCAATGATGCTGCCCAAATATGTAAAGGTTCTTACATCTTCCAAATCTTCTTCAACTGTGATTTGATTGGTGCATGCTGTGTTGTATCGGAGAACCTCGCTTTTCTTTTTGTGTATATTGAGACCTACTGCTGCCGAGACTGCTGTTACATTAGTCTTCTCTTGCGTTTGTTGTTGCGTTTGCGATAGAGGATCCAGATCATCTGCGAAGTCTAGATCGTCCAGCTGCATCCTAGATGTCCACTGTATCCCGTGCTTCCCTTCAGATGTTGATGTCCTCGTGATCCAGTCGATCACCATGAGAAAGAGCAAGGGTGAGAGTAAGCAACCTTGCCTGACACCGGTCTTTACTTCGAACGAGTTTGTCTACTGTCGTCCATGCACAATTTTGCAGTTTAACCCATCATAGGAATTCCGTATGATATTGACTATCTTCTGAGGCACTCCGTAGTGTCGAAGAAGCTTCCATAGTGTTGTTCTGTCCACGCTATCAAATGCTTTATCGTGGTCAATGAAGTTGATGTAGAGCGATGAATTCTATTCGATTGATTATTCCACAATGATCCGTAGAGTTGCGATTCGATCTATATTTGACAGATCTTACGGAATCCAGCCTGTTGGTCTCGAAGTTCCAGTAATTTTATATAAACCCTTCATAACCTCTAAAATTATCACACAATTTATATTATCTGTCTGCGTACCTCATCTGATTAATGCACCACCTACCTTCTATGCTGTAGTGTTCGTATCTGTTGACACTTAGTTTGGAAATGAGAAACTGGTTAATAATTTTTCGAATGTGCACTGATCATAAAGGTTGCGTGGTTGATAAAATATTACCGTTGATACGAAGAGTTTATTTGGCATATATCATTATGATACACCTATGTAGTAAGCTAAGTTTAAGCACTTAGGAGGACAAGTTTATGTAGTGGTAAGCTCCTTGTTTCTTATTAGCTTTTGAATGCTTTCACGAACGATTAGCCACGAATGCAGTAAAGGATTCATTTGGATTTTCTGGTAGCATGAACCACAAAAATATTGCTGGTAATTTTATGGTTTCTTTTGATGCGACATGATTGTTTACAAAAATAGCACTTTTTGGAACCATAGACATAATTTACCAGCATCTTGACATTCTACCTCTACCAGCATCAGGATTCAAACTACTGTTACTCATGTGCGCAAAAAATGTTAAGTTCCAGTTCAACAATATCATTTACCGGCAAACCTATGGTGTAGCAATGGGGAAGTTCGTTAGGTCCTATCGTAGCAGATTTTTTCATAGCTAACTTCCAAAGAACCAAGCTCAAAGGAGCGATTGATGAAATAGTGTATTACTCGATGTATGTTGGTGATACCTTCATCGTATGTAATAATCAACAACATTAATAAATCTACTAAAGCTTTTCAACGAAACCCATCCAAATATCCATTTTGCTATGGAACATAAAAATAAGAACAAATTCCATTTTCTCGATATCGCAATCAAACGAAGGAAAGATGGGACAGCTCAACGTTTAGTTTATAAGAAAGACACATGGAACGGGGTTTATCTCAATTTCAGTAGCTTTTGTCCAATCAGTTACAAGAAGGCACTTGTCAAAACACTTTCATAGAACAGAAAGAATATATACTGCCGACACATTAAAAGATGTTATGAATGTTAAAAAATGTTTAAAGAATAACGGATACACACTGAAATTTGTTGAGAAATATGGAGAACGTGAAGATAAAAAACCCAAAAAAACTGCAGCAAATAAGAAACCAATTTTTATCCAACTTAAATTCAAAGGTGATGATGTCACATGGTCAATCAATATGGAACTAAAAACTGCATGGACAAGAACTTATCCTGCAGCTAAACTAATTTTCCTGTCCAAAACAACATTTCTTTAACACAATCAAAGGTCGGTAGGTATCCCTTTCATGTAACCACTAACTGTGTGTACAAATTTACATGTATCTGCCAAAGCAGTTACATAGGTAAAACAGGAAGGAGAGCCTACGTCCGATCCATGAACATATTCCGGCAAGTTTAAAATCAAATGGATTAAGAGCATTCAACAATGCCATCGCAAGACATCTCCTTGATACAGGACATGAAGTCGATACACTGAAGTCCTTCAAGGTGATTAACGAACAATCAAACTCCAACCTTTAGAAGTTTGCCTAAGCGACAGAAATCAGACGTCTAAAACCAGATCTATGTATCCAAAAAGAGACAGTAGTAAATCTTTCTTTGCCCTGGTAACATTAAACCTCTTTTTATTTATTACGTCATCCATTATTTCAACTCTTTCTGAAGTTTGAATTACTTCGTTGTCATTTCCCTTCAATTCATATATTTCTTTGTTACTATTAATCTATTTTCAGTTGCTTCATTGCACAATTATCTAATGTTTATTAACTTCATGAGTCCTAATCTCTATTTCAATGTTCTGGAACTTTCCCTTTCAAAATTTATTAATCCGAAACAAAAATTTTTATGACCTTATTAACTCTATTGAAATCTTCGCTGCATCATGATACATATATTCATCTTTAGTCACCCTCGTATGTATAAGTATGTCAATATCAGTAGTAACGTTGATTTTCAAATATTTTAGGTTGTAAGCAGCTGATGAGAACCTAACGAAATAAAATGGATTCATATTACTCTGCACCAATCTTCGTCCTTGCTCCCTTTAAAATAATAAAGGAAACTATGTGTTTGAAGTCACTAAAGATAGTTGATGTGAATTGATTGTAGACAAGTATCCGATCATAAGTGTCTTCAACGCACTATTGTTATGTAGTGATCATTCATGTTAGTGATGTTGATGTTGAGTGTATAACTTTAACAAAAGTTTGTCTTTGAGGTTATCGTGCACTAGCTAATATCTATTACATATTCCATATATCGATTCATCATCTGACTGCTTAGATCAGGAATATATCAAAGTCTAACTCACTATACTAACATACTATATCAGTCCATTAAGCTACCGGATAGTAATTTAAATGATATAAGCTCCAAAGAGTTAATAGTCGAGTGATAGTTGTAGGTATCATAGCTTAGAACAATTTGTCACAACGCAGACGCATTCATAAAGATATATTAGTTCGTCTCCTGTCTTTATGTCTGTTCATTTTGTTGTTTTTATTTCGTTAGTCTTTTCCTTCTATGAAATTAGAAAGTGTGAAGTTGTAAACTGATGCATTATTATGTGATGTTTACGTGTCTTGTTTTTAAACTTTAGTAACTCTCCGTTAGTGTTCATTATTTACAAAATTCTTACACTTATCTAATGAGTCATTATTGGTTAAGATTTACATCCAATCTGAAAGTGTAAATATAGTTAATCAGTTATTACTTTTTAATCTAATTCCTTGTTTATTTTTTATAGTTAAAAGTTTAAAACAATCACTCCCTTTGATAAATTTCGATAATGCAATGAGAAGACAAAGTTGAGCAGAATTTTCAGAGTGTCTGTTATAGTTAGCGTATTTCATGTTCTTATTAAAAAACTACAAAGACTGATTAAAATCCAGAATATTGGTACAGAGACTCATACATCTCATTGTAATTGATTTCTAACAGTACCGGTTAAGAATAGGGACAATTATTTCCTAGCAGTTTAAATAAGTATAATCGACCAAATAGTAGCAAATTTATAATAAAATTCACATTTTGTTTCAGTGAGTCTAGCATCATATTCCATGTATTCGTTGAGTACCTTACCTAATTTCCTTTACGTTTTTTGCCGTTTCATTCTTCGTCTGTGCATGTCTACACAATTACACATTTTATCCACGTGATTGGGTTAAAATTATTACCTTAGTCATTCAGACAATATTTCTCCAGTTATGCATAACATTTACGTGATTTATTCTACTACATTGATTACAACTCGATATCTTATAACGGTTTGCCTGCCCCTTTTCTAAATGACCTGTTAAATTTACAAATAACATAAACCAGATATATTTATACGTTAACCGATACGAAAGTCCACATTCTTAACATTTTTTAATTTATTAATTCATATTTACTTAATTTTGCCCACGGTAACACAAAGATTATAGATGTATAAAGCGTTAGAACCTGATGACAAACTTTCTGAAAACTGTTCGCTCAAAAAATTCTTTGTTTTTAAAGTGTATAGGGATCTTGAAATTGTTAATTTGTGGTAAGTGCGTGGCTCTTCATCACCTATCGAAAGAGTCTTTTTTATCTCCATAAACTGTTTTAAAGCACAAGTTCTTTTTACGGAATCTTTTTTAAGATCTGGCGACCATATAATTTTTCCATCTGGGATGCATTGATCTTTCGTTTATTTCCTTTCAGATCATAACAATTAGATGAGACTTGATATTGAATTTTCCGGTGGGGCTGAACTTTTGTTCAACAAGCAAAAAGAATATCAAGTTGACCTACCACCAACAGTGGTTCGACTAGGTGATTTGCTTGTTTGGTTGGAGAAAAATCTTTTACAAGAACGTCCTGAACTGTTCTTACAAGGGAAAAGCGTTCGACCTGGAATTCTCATTTTAATCAATGATGTAGATTACAGTTTATTGGGTGAGAATGACTATATTTTGAAGGAAATGGATAAAGTTATATTTATATCTTCATTGCACGGTGGTTGAGTTTATACACAAGGACATTCTTTACATGTTTGTAATATTTATTTGTTATTTGTAAAGATGGTCAGGATTATGATAAATTCCTTTGATGAAAATCATTTATCTTTTTTCCTTTCTGGTATTATCTTCCACAAGTCAGATATAGTGTAGTTTTCTGGTAGACGTTCGACAGCAAGGCCAAGGTCCTCGTTATACACTGGCTCTCTGTCTTTTAGTTTGGTTCCATCCGCTAGATAAACCTTTGTAAAATGTAAAAAATAGTAGAGTTTTAGCATAAAATTTTGTTGTGGGCATTTATTTGTTTATCTGTCTGTCAGCTTTAAGTGCTTGTATTAGGTAAAAGCCACAAATGATACTGCTGCGGTAGAAAAACGAATATTTCCGTAAGTGGTATAGCTACGGATATTATAATCATTTTGCTGAAACAGAATCTCAATGTGCTAAGTGCCAGTTACAACTAGCTCGTTGGTCCAACATCAAACTACCTTTAGTTGATGCAATTCCTTAATCTAAGGGGTTTTTACCATACGTGTTTACGACCTATCATGCAAATTCGTGTTATTGCTGAATCATGTCTAATTTTGATGATAAAACTGCCTACGTACCATGAGATTACAGGAATTTCATGTGTGTCCGAATAACTGTATTTGGAGGACCGGACATTACTGATACACAAACCTGTTTTTATTCCCATATTGTTGGAGTGGACATCCAAATAATCCTAATGGTCTTTGGATAGGGATGGTTGGTTGATATGTTATGGTTATTATGGCTTCATGGTACTACTTATAGAACAGTCTTAATACAGTTACGTGATATAGACTTGAGGAATAAATATTCTGCTTATCAGTTTTTAAGATGTTTAAGTCTTAAAATGTAAGAGCTATATATTTTGCAAATCAATGTTTACTGGAAAAAAGCTTTTGGTGCGACTTATTATATTTAACGACTTACTGAAAGAATATCACAGTGATCTTCAGCAGTTCGACCTCTAGATTCATCTATTTCTTCATTTATTTTCTTTACCTATGGTTAAGAAAATAAAAAAGTTTCACAAAGAAAATCCGTTGATAAAATATTAGCCAATGGAGATGTATTGTAAAGAGAAATTGAATGGGTCGAATATTATGATGTTAAGACGCCAATGTAACACAATCACATTCCAGATACAGCTAAGATAAATGCGAAAAGGTCAGTCAACATAAGAGATCGAGGAGATATCTCTACAGAGGCAGCACATCAAATTGTGGCTATATTGTCAGCCAATTTGTCGTATGCAATGTCGGCTCAGTTTTCAGCTGTTAATCTAATCAAACACATCATTCAGCGCATACGACATGACAGTCAATATTCCTTACCAAATTAGAATCCTTTAAATGTACTAAATTGCCCTCTCAAAAAGGAAGTATTAATCAATTGAAAATCGGACAGTTTGTTGCAGGAATCCAACAACAGGACAGAAAGTATAAGGAAGTAACAATGTGTACCAAACTGGTCATAGAAGATTACGAAAACAGATTGATACTAGACTGTCTACATGGAATAGCACATAATTTTAATCAGCAAATATGAACATGTTAAACTGTTACGAGAGTTTCGTAATTTAAGTAACATTTACATCTACATTAAATTGATGTTGCCCTATCTTGATGCTCAGATGTGATTTGCTATATTCAGTCACTTAATATATTGCTGGGACTATTTTATCTTATTAAGAAATTACCCTTTTAGTCTGAGTTATCAATGTGTCGGGGTCAGAATTTTACGCCTGTTACCCTACTTAATGTGTTGTAAAATATTAAGAGTAATACATAACTTCCAGAACCAAGATAAGGTTGCGTTATGATCGAAGAGTAAAAGAAAAATAATTAGATAAAACGAAATGCGCGAAAGGGAAATATCCACTTAGGGAGTATGAGAAAAATGAATGAATAAAACACATTCAGGTGGTAATCAAAAATGACTAAAAATTAGGAACATTAAAACAAAGTATCACTCATCAATTGACTTTTCGTGAGAAATCACATGTGATGACACCTTGAATGTGACGCTTTAGGACATAGCTCAGTTTCGAATTGTTGAACTGCTACCGCCTCTGCAGCAAAATCAGTGGTAAATACTGTTGTAATGTAGTTGGGTTTGCGATTTATTCCATCTAGGCTGAAGGAAATGTCTTAATATTCCTGCCTGTCAAACGTAAATCTGAGTGCGATTTTAACTGGGATAAATGATAATATGACTTGTATGGATACTTAGTAATTCTATGTTAATAATTATCACATGAGGTGCCCGGAATATTGTGGTTAATACTACTTGTCGACAGACATAAGTAGCATGTAATATCAACCGGATTTATTCATTATTTATTTATTTATTTGAACATAAATATTGGTACAAGAGGGCACCAAATATATGTGCGCCACACAAACAATGAGAATGGGAACAGAGAACTTAAGAAGGTAAGGAGCGTAAAGGAAAAAAGAACAATAACGACCAAATTAGTGTAAGGTAGTGTAATAATAATAATGGGGGAGACGTAAAGGTACAACTAAAAGAAATATTTCAGTTAAGGAAGAAACAACCACTTTTTATGAAGAAAGTAAAAGAAGGTTACAGCAGGATCGCCACTGGCTTCTATTCTAAGCCATATCTGATAACGTCGCTAGCCACTCTGTTGCACCATCTCTAGGACCCCAGCCGGGGAGCCGTGAAGGACCGACACAAGCCAGCCCTCTACAGCTTTCTTTCATACGACGACACCATGTCATACACTGACCACCTCTCCGCTTCTTCCAACCAGTCCCAGAGTCGGTAAATAATGCACGACGTGGAATTCTCTGGGACGACATTCGTAGAACATGTCCAAGCCACCGAAGTCGGTGTTTCAAGATAGTGACACCAATTGAATTATCATCTCTGTGCCCGAACACACGATGCCGAACCTCTTCATTGCCAACATGGTATTGCCACTGGATGTCAGCAATCCTTCGGAGACAACGATGATCAAACACAGAGTCATCTAACATCCTCAACTCGGAGAGGCCAGGTTTCACAAGCATAGAGCAGAACTGCTTTCACCGACGCGTTGTAGATCCGACCTTATACAGCCAGACCGACATTACGAAGGTGCCAAAGATGGCCCAGATTGGCATAGGCCGCTCTGACTTTCGCACTTATGCAGCTAACCAGATACACAATACATCCTCGACCAGAACGAAACCCAGCCTGCTCCTCGCGAGTCAATCTTTCTCGGGTTTTGAACAACCTATGAAGTATGACGGAAGCCAACAGCTTGAACGCAATCGGAAGTAGACTTATCCCCCGATAGTTTTTACTGAAACAACGTAAACCATTTTTAAGGATAGGGATAACTATCAACTCATTCTATGACGTTGGTACACTCTCTAGCTCCCAAACCTTTGTGAACAACACAGTCAGTTCCTTAACAAGAAAGACAATGCCATCTTTTAAAATAGCCGGAGGTAAGTCATCTGGGCCTGGTGATTTGTAGCGCTTCAAGAGTTGAAGTTCCTCGTGGACTTCCGCCTCATGTGGTGGATCAGTCGTCACCGACCATGGAGGACAGGGCAGTCTGACCGATGTTGCCAGATCAGCAGGCCAGTTGAACTGCCCTTCGAAGAATTCTGCCCATCGTCCAAGACGTCGATAGATGTTAGTGATTGGCATCCCGTCATCCTTGCAGATTGATTTGCTCACACCAGACTTCTTGCTGCCGTTGGCTCGGATGAGTTGAAAGAACTTCCTGTAGTTACCAAATGCAGCTGCTGCTTCCAGCTCATTATCACGCTACGACCACCAGGTTTCTCGGTCCTTAAGCAAGCTTTGCCCAATTTCGTTACGTAACAGTCATTGTTTGTGGTCAAACTCACGGTTACCCGGAGTAGACTGACGGGCTTCAATGAGTTGTAAGGAACCAGAAGAAACCCAGTGCTTATAAGCTTATAGCGAAGCCGCAAGCGACTGTACTCGCCATTTTGATGACGTCATGAAGTTGCAACCAATGCTGATCTATACTTTTCGGTAGAATGGTAGCTAGCCTAGAAGCTAGCTCGGTTTGATACTTAGTTGCAACAGAAGTTGCAACCAATTTACTGACATCCATCCGTTTAGGACGAGGAATTTGTTGACCACTGAAAAATAAGGTAAGATTAACGCAGAAAAGGGAATGATCAGAGTCCAGATAGGTACTCCTAAAGGAGCGGCAGTCTTGTACACAACCACGCCAGTGGTAGCTGATCGCGATATGATCAATCTGATTCCAGGTTCGAGATGCAGAGGGAGGACGCCAGGTGGTACATAGGCGATGACTGTCTCGGAAGTTAGTTCTGTCCAGAAACAGGTTGTGGTCTGTGCACAGTTAGAGTAGATGGTCCTCGCTATCTGTCCTGCGACCAACAAATCCCCATCGGCCACCTAAACGACTCTCTTCTGTGCCTAGACGCCCGATCTGAGCATTCAAGTCTCCGGCTAGTACTACAATTTCTGTCGAACGCACTTCCTGGAGAAGTACAGTTAACTGGTGGTAGAGTTTATCCTGAAATGAATCCAGGCTGCAATCTGTCGGGGTATAGACGAAGATGACGAAAAGACATCGTTTCTCACACCGATTTCTTCTCATTTTGATGGAACTTTCTAATCTAACAGCACATAACCGACCGTTAGTGGGGATCCAATCGATTAGTTCTGCCTCAGCTCTAGCGCTTAGTGCGACACCGATGCCAGCAAGACCAGACGGAGATTCCACAGAGTCAACGGATAAGCGCACGTAAAACAAGCTTTTTGAAGTGACAGATGGAGATCGAATTTGTAGTACTTCACCGAAGTCTTGAATTTGGGTCTCGGATAGACAACAAACGTCGATATTAAGACTTTCCAAAGACATAGCCAGCCCTATCTGTTGTCTGATCTGCATAAGTGTACGAACGTTGAAGGCAGTCAGTTTGAATGGTTCACGTGATTCCAGGAAAACTGCTTCAGTATTCATATTTGGTGGTAGCATTAAATTTCCAACCAAATAGTGACTTGAGAACGTTTAGATAGAACCGAGTTTCCACCATGGGCAAGCTGCTGTGTAAGTGGAAAAATAAAGATACATAAAGGGGGAATAAGAGATAGTGAATAAACGACGTAGTAAATAATAATCACAATAATAATGATAGTATTAATAATAATAATAATAATTTGAATTGTTTGACTGCAAATCGAAGTGTGAACAGAATTTTCGGTAAATATCGTCATTTTCATTTTATTTGTGTGTGGGCTATGATATTGTCCAGGTGCCTAGACCGAAGCAGCTGGTTTTCTTAGGGGGCCACACCTCGAGCCTTTGACCTAAAGGTTTGATCCACAAGGCAGTGGAGCGTCTTGAGGAGATGCAGTCCCATGGTAACCGGTGACCAGCGATTGTTTCATACGCCATTTTTCCTTCAGGATACAGGAGCCCATGTTCACCTTTTGATTGGGATCGGTGTTTTCCAATCCCTCCTGAGTAAACCTCTCATATTCACCAACCCAGTTAAAGTACTGGATATTCACTATTCGTCCTCTCAATGTCGTAAAGAGCACTTCCTTCACGAGAAGGCAGTGAGTAGGACTTTCCTGGCAGTGGTTGTATATGCGTGGTTATGTGAGTAAACTTTGAGAGGGAGGGCTAACTCTCCCCACTCTCGGGGTTTGAATCGACAACTTCATCTCTGTGCTAATGTGGTGTGGCAACTCGGACTGATGTACGTACTCACGAAGTTCTACGTTGTTACTGACTGACTGACTCTCGGCCATAACAGGGCATTTGGGGGCATATCAATCGGAAGTGGAATACCTGGCAGCAGAAGGCTAAGAAGACTGAGTTGAAGGTAATAGAAAGGAATTGTAAACTGGAAGGATCATACAGAATTTGAAAGACAAACGACAGAAATTTGCAGATGAAATATTCAATTTACGGTCCTCACATTTTACAAAGATATTCTGTAACTTTGTACGAAACAATACATTGGTTGTTCCTACCTGAGTGTCTGTTCATTACAATATGTTCCTTGCGTTCATCTAAATAATATCAAGGCAAACTTAGCCACTTGAATCTTGTTATCACGAACGGTAACATTTGACAGCATAAAAGTCCATTAAGTTTCGCTGGAAAGCATAAGACACAATGTTTTTGGGGATACATTTAACGAGGAATGCCGACTATGACCTTTGAATAATAAAATTAAGTCATATTTGCACCCTCACGTATTTAAAATTTATTCCAATGAAGTGTAAGAAATGTAACCCAGAATGTAGTTATTCAACTTTATATATAATCGTTTCATTTGAAACTTTAATCAGATATTCTCTTTCAAAACAAATAGACACACATCCAATTTATATACCATCACATTTTCGATGTAAATACTTAAATGTATTTAAGTCAACTACCTTTACATTTTCGGTCGTCTGAAGTTGACTAACAAATTTTTCTGTTGAAGTAGACTATCCCCTAGCTGTTCGAAATAAACGTACGGGGTAACAAGATTTGGGTAACAAGGACGAAACGTTTTTCTAAATTTGAAAAACTTATATTATTTTTTGAGAGTATGCTCTTGATAATATGTCTATAAGATACATTTCTTATTGGTCGTAAGATAGAGAAACAGAGGGTAAATCAAACACATTTCACACCTTTAAAGATGTCACTTCCCCTTTCTATATATATATATATATATATATATATTCATCCCATATTTACATACATTTTGTATTGTTTCATCTTTTGTTTGACCAGTAGTAATTCCAAGAACAGGGTTTTTCCAATAAATGCTATGTAAACTACCAAGTTGCTTCGCTACTTTATTGAGACGCTCGCGTGGATCTATTCGAAACCCAAGAAGATACGATCCTGCCTGAAAGCAAAACAAAATGCAGATATAGATCGTCTTTGCTAAGTAACCATTTTGACTAGTTCATTGCTGTACCTTGAACTGAAGTTCTTGTATTATACTAACCTAAGACTTAGTATTGTTTTTCGGATTCCAATAGTTTGTACAGGACTGAAAACTCTGCCTTTAAGAATAGACAGGTTTCTTAACGTCAACTGATGCATGATTTTACAAGGAACTTACGCCACCAAGACTGTATATTTTACATAAAAAAATTACAACCGAAAGGTATTTTAGGTTATAATCAATGCTAAAATGTTTTCCTGATGTGAACTACACACAAGTTAATTCATAAGTCAAATAAGACCATACATATTTTAAAATGGGAAAGAATGAGGCATTTACAATAAAGACGTAACCAAAACTGTGTACGTTATGTTTCCTTAATATAATGTTTTAATAGAGATAATGAGACTCAGTATAATGATGTGTACGTTTGGTTGTAAACATCTTAATAGATTAACTGATAAGTGACTCCTAAATTCTTATGGATACTGGATAAAAATAATGTCTATGAAGTTTGGAAATTCCCATATAATATTTAAAAACGAGGAGTATTACAGCGAATTGTCGTTTTCAATAACTTCTTTGTCAGACTTCTCAAGTCCAAAACTATTATTTTTGTGTTACAATATAAGGAAAATTACATTTAAACTAATCCATGTTGTACGTTTAAAATGACAAATTTTGGGTTGACTGATTCTTAAACAGTACAACTTACTAACATAATAAAACAACATCATTAATATTGTTGAGAAGAGGTTATACATAAAGGCAAGAAAGAATAAGTTTTGATCAAGTCAATGGATTCTAGTCAGTATGATACAATCGTATGCAAAACAAATTAGCGAACTATAGGAATTATTATGTCAAATTTGTTGTGACTATAATAATGATGTTGACAGTAATAGTAATGACAGTAATAATACTAAGATTAAGAAAAATTAATAATCGGAGTGTCGCGTAAAAAGGTGAGTGTATGACTGGGGATAAGACAAACCTCACAGAAGGGAGGGAGAACAATGGTGAAGATAGGAGACACAAATGGAATTAAGAATCAAACGACCTTTCTTCAACAATATTAATTATGTTGTTTTATTATGTTAGTAAGTTGTACTGTTTAAGAATCAGTCAACCCGAAATTTGTCATTTTAAACGTACAACATGGATTAGTTTAAATGTAATTTTCCTTATATTGTAACACAAAAATAATAGTTTTGGACTTGAGAAGTCTGACAAAGAAGTTATTGAAAACAATTATGTGCTATAATACTTTTCTTTTTAATGTTTACATGTCTTCAGATAAGCATTTGTTTCTCAAAGCGAATCTTTATCGATCGAGGTGATTAGGAGATGTATTACGTATACTTATTCACCGAATTCCTCGATGTGCGATAATGGCTGGTGAAGAAGTAGGTTGGAAGGAGTAAGGAGTGACAGAATCGAGACACAATGTTGGCTCATGAAAGCATTGAGTTTTGGGCTAAAACATGTAGACAGGTGTATACTAGCTGATTAGGGTCTGCGTGATTGTTGTAGCCAATGATTAATGACTTTCAATTTCATGAGTCAAAATAGCTTTGACTGTCGCAGGTGCACCAACTCTTTTTCTTCCCTCAGATTCTAAGCTTCTGAATACCTCATAACTTTTTTATTTCTCAAACTGATATTTCTATAAACCGCACTTTCAATGACTGATTATTTCAAACCCCGCTAACTTTATTTTCAACGCTGCTACACCAAGATTTACCCTGACAGTTTTATTGTGCAATACTAATGGGGTGTGGCAAATTTATCCTATGTACGCATGTGTCAGGTTTTACGTCATCTTGATTGAATGACTGTATTTCTATCATTAATTTTAATTACCTAGTAACTAAACGCTAAGGTTAGTCGTCGTTTGATTACAATTAGTAAGACTTATTAAATAATAACGTTCTTCCACAACCAACTCTACGGCTCTTTGTTACAGCCGTGGTAAGCGGATATGGGAGTTAATATAATTCATATAAACTTCAATCGAAGAGATAAAATCAGTTCTATGGTAAAAGCATATTCTTTCGAATTTTGATAAAGGACCACCTATATACTATAGTAAAACATACTGAATTTACCTACCTGCCGTGTAGTTTGAATTACGAGTGCCTCTCCAAACTTAGATTTTCTGGTTGCAATCATTTGCTGAAGTAAGAATTTTAGTATTTTTCGACATAATTACTATCTGCAGGAAAGGAATGCTAATATTGAAGTTCACGTTAATTATAGATGTCCAAACAAGTCGAAAATTTGTTACAAACAACTTCCCTAGATTTCCCTTGATAACTTATCTACCTCTGAAATTTAACTACTTGATCAGATGAAAGATTCCATACTCCATCTATTTCATCAAATAAACTTTCTAATGGCAATAACATAAGAAGGTTTCCTTTCACTAGTGCTCCGCGAACCCGTAACTCTCGATAAATCCTCGTAGAATCATATGCCCTTAAGAATTTGAAAGGCTTTGAGGACGAAACTAACTTGTAAACTGTTGTAATGTACTCCATCATTTTGGAATCACCAACTCCGCATTCAGCAAAAATGAATTCATACCTTGTCCCAGAAAACGCAGTAAGAACATCAACCGCCAGGCTTTTTTCAGCTGCTTTCTAGCTATAAATTGGATCTTCTCATGTACTTACTGAATTGACATTCTTAAAACAAATATTTATGATGCAGCCAAAGCCAATAGCTTAAGTATTGTAAGTAATAGCATATAATTAATCCTACACAAACTGTTCCGCATTACACAGTTAGATATCCAGAGCAACCTTAAGTTGGTAATGTATAAATCCCCTGAATAACAAATTTTACAGCCTTGTTATATTTTATACAAACAAATACCTTTGTCTCCATTATTTCCTTTCACATCTTCGACATTTTCCAAGAGTTTAAAGTTTACTTCTCCATTTCTAAAAACGAAATCGCAACGCGGAACATCGAAGCGAACTTCCCTATCCTGCCACAACACTTCATTGGAATATGACAACATATTTGGTTGGGCGCTGACGCTTATTTGGCAGCTTCGTTATGACACCATAGAAACACGATTGGCATGCCTTAAAAGAAAATTTCAGTTGTCGAAATTTGTAGAGGAATGAGGCAGAGATTGTGTCATTGGATTGAAAAAATATTATCCAAAGGCATTTCCAAAATTCTGAGGGTCGGATTACCCGGGAACCGTATGAACGAGAAAACGATATATAATTCATGATGTCACTAGAAACATATGGCTAATATATGGGAACAGAACAGAGCGGCTTTAAACAATAAAGTGCGTTTTGGAATCTTCAAGCTCCAGTGAGCATGTTGAATTAGATGGATATCTGATTATGGAGAAAGTTTCAAACGACCCTAGAATCCATCGCGTTGCAAATACTAGGTAGTCTGATCCATAAATTGAAGGTCTCGTTTCTTAGCTAGCTTCGTTCTGTATAATAGTCACACTGAATAGGATACTCGCCCAAATCACAGTTGAATTTTAGACTAGGAAATTACGTTGTTCCAGAAACGCTCTAAATATTCAACCATTATTTAATTGTGAGTTGTATTGTATTGAAATGCATTATTTTTGGCTTACGATAACAGAACAATAATGTATGGATATGTCGCGTTTTCGTAATAATAACTCGGGAGACCAAAGACTACTCTGTTATGCGTTGACTTGTAGTCTTCTGAGAACCCGTATTTACTTAATTTTAGGGTATTTTAGCTCGTTGTTAAGATAGTCGCTAAGATATATATGCATTTCGATGGGTCATCCATTTTTCCTGGGTTATTATTGTTGGAGATTTCATAGTAACTAAGATATATTTTACTGAGAAACGGGTTGGGTATTCTCACATTCACTAAACAGCAGATGCATCGTACATTTTAAAATCAGTTTAGCAATCAAACTAGGCATTTTATGCGAGAACGTTGTAAAGCCGGCGAAATAATTCTGAGTCCAAGCCTAATAGACCATCATGCTGTACCGTTTCTACTTCGGACTGAAGATTCTTAGGGGTTGAGCAGTTTAGTGATCTTCGTTAAGGTCACGGATAGACAACTTGGGTCAGGTATTTGGACTCCATAATTCATACCTTTCAAATTTTTTAACTGAAAAAACCACATCGGTGAGACTTTATTTGTTTCATGGAGTCATCACAGTCGTCTCAGAAACTTGATATCACGTTAGACAGTGACTGTGAAGTATTATTTCGATACGAGCTAGGAGGTCACATTACTACCGAACCGATCTACTATCCACATAGACGGTATAAAATATCGGATGCTTTTTCATTATGTCTAAGTAAATGATATTAGTGATAGGCACTCTATGGTGCTACAAGAAATGCGATCAGTAGTCTTGTAGACTCACAAGGATAACATATGGTTTTGTAAGGTTTGCGAGTTAGTGGGGTGCCAGAATTCCAAATATTTGGGTTGTAGCGATGATATGCGACGAAAAACACATGAAAACTAATTCATATCGAGCAAAAGCACACATGTATAATACACAGTAATTACAAACTAATAATGGTTATGTACCCAGTTAGTCGAAAAATAAGGCTACAATTATGATAGAGAGTAGGGAATGGTACAATTTAAAATGTAACCCAAAATAGTCATTTTTGATTGACCAGGGAACATTAAGAAGCACAAATTATATAAGTGTGTACCAGGCATATCAGATATGTTGATGTGCCAGCTAGTCAAGAGAGAAAACAGATGTCAAAATGAGATGGTTGTATGTAGCGAACGATAATTAATCTAACATCTATTAACGTACAGGAAACTGCCGGGTCGAATTCAGCAGCACTGGTGAAAGCATAACTTGTGGATGATTTTTGAAAGAACACCGGTGATCTTGATAAATTTCAGTCAATCAGAAAACGGGCGGTATAGAGCCTTAATATGTATTATGCGAAACGAAAAAATAGTTTTTTTGACATGGTTTAAAAACATTCTTTTGCCTCAATCACATTGCTTCTATATTATTTATGTGTACTCCGGTGGTGGTGTCCACAAAATGCCGCTTGTGGACGACGACACGGTGCACGTAGCCCAGTCTATGTAAGCATAGATATGCTGTCAAGTCATCCGTCTATATTGTGGTTCCCAGCTGCACATACTCTCGTATAGTTGATAATATAGTTGTAGTTTGTTGGTACTTAACGCGCTGGAAGTTTCCTTTTTGAGATGGTCTATCATATATTTCGAGGACCTGCTGGGTATATTTATGGTAGTGCTACTTACCCAGTCTGCTTTAACACTTCTCTGGTTGGATTTTTGTTTTTTAGCAACCATTTTGTCTATTTCTATGGTCCTTCAGACTCCTCAAAACAATTCACGTAAACTTGTCATTTCATTGCGCATATATCTTGACAGTACTATACTATTCAACTGCTGAGGCTTCAGTTACACCTAAAAAGGTTGTAGCCGGTGTTACTGGCGCTTTTATCACCCGGTTTACAACAGCTATCATAATTTGGGTTAGTCTCGATCGGTGCAGAGCGGAAACGATCTCGTTCTAGCAGACTTTAACTTCCAACCTATGTAACAGAAAAACATCACAACATTCTACACAACGTTCGTCAGTCATTTTATCACTTCAACCACAAATAAAGGAAGTTTTCAGAAATTGATTCGTCATAGTCATTTGACTATAATGTCTTCTTTAAATTCCACCGTAATCTGACCATACGTGAGCACTGGGAACTGAAAAGGGGATCATGACCTTGGAAACTGTTATATCTAGTAGGTTGTTCTTGATATGCCGCGTATAACCCAAGCACTAGAACGCCAGAATTCTTCCAAGTCTCAATGAGAAGACAGAAGAATAGTGAAAGGAACATTATTCCCAGACAGTGTCAATTATTGTACAAAATTGTCAGGTATTTATAGTTTTTAGCAAAAACAAAATCATCATTACAGTCCGCTAATCAGCATACAGGGGGTTATTAGCGTTGTCCAATCGGGAAGCTACACGTAGGTATTCTAGAACATTCTTCCAAAAGGTGATTGGACGGAATATCTTCGGCTCCTTCTGAGTCTCCTACAGCTTCCTCGAGTTCACCCGTGATCCATCGTCATAGAAGTATTCACTTACTTGCGATTCGCTGGTTCATAAACTGTCGTCTCACCGTTTACTCTTATGAAAATCCTTCTTGGCCCATATACACTTCTAAAATTATGGTCTAGTTAGTTATTAGTGCTTCTCCAATAACAAACCTAATCCTGAAGTTGTAGATTTGTGATGATATGGCTACCTAATCCATAAGATCTTGAGTGCAAATCACACCATGGTCTATTCTAACTAAAAAATTATACAAAACGACTACAACTGCGAGGCTGAGCCATTTCATCTGATTTATTGCATGAGTATTCACTATCGCTGGCCGTGGTAAATGTTGAATGTCTATTTCGCAATTTATCTCATGTTCAACCTTGAGGTTTGTGTCTTTAGGATTGATACCACTACATACTTGCTAAAAACTGAATTTCGATCATTTCATAGTTGTGGTTTTTATAATATTTATATGGTCAACCAGATAATCCACTAATGACGTCATTTCGAATTCATAAACTAAGTTCGTCTTGTCGTAGGATAGACTCTTGATAGGATATTTAGTCCAGTCAGAATTTGTTAACAAAAAGGTAATAGCAGATGGTCGGTTGTCTCGGTCTTTTGTCTGACTATTGAATAGCAGTTTCGGATTTTTCAAGCGTTTTCTGTGGAAAGTTGAAACTTCAACTCCACGTACACTCATGATGCAAGTGATTCGTCGAGCGTAAAAACGTACTAGGGACGCTAATGCCGTTAATTTTTTTGACAACTATAAAGTTTATCAACATGCTACTCACAGAATTCACAAGCTAGAATTTTGCTATGTACAAAGATGTAGCATTGTGAAATGGGAAGCATCTAGAAGGCAATAATGAATAGCTACTCTGTATTTGGAGAAGTGAGGAGAAAAGCGGGTATAAACAAAGATAGTGGTGCCTAAGTCTTACTTTCTTCTTAACTGGTATCGAGACGACAAGAAGCCATCCTTAGGAAATTATTTAATTTTTACTGACTCGTGAAAAAGATGTTGCGTGGAAAGTGAACTTAATATTCCATCAGATATGAAGATTGGCCTTGAAATCAAAATTTTATAACCGCAGGTGAAGGATCGGCTCAATCAAATCGATTACGCTCAATTTTTAGTCAAAGCAGAAGGTCAGTTGCTTGATAATTATACTAAAAAAAGGATGATAAATAGAAACTTCATTGATAAGTACTAGCAGCATTGAGTTAATTCTAAATCGTTATCGGTCCTCTGTATATTAGCATCTCGCTTAGTCTAGGCCGTCCAATACAGAACACAAATATGAGCCTTCAAAATATGGTTCGTGTGTCTCAGGCATACTCGGTTTAATTATAAGGAGACAAGATTGCATAACACAGTAAAACGAAAAATACTGATTATTCAAGATCCAGCCAACAGGGAGTATGAGATACTGTAGCTAATATATTTGGAATAATTTAGGAATTGTTAATTGTATGATAGTAACCAATAGGTCAAGTACAAAGTTATGACCAAAAGGGAATATGAATACACTTGTAATTTAGTCTCTTATTTATCATGGTATAATAATACCTGTAAGAATGACCCATAAATAATTCTTGGATGGTTCCATTCACTTATTTTTCGTTCGGTTGTGAATTACTTATCCTACACATCACATGTCTGTGAATCATTTTCGTCTGAATATATTGGCTCACGTTCGGTTGAATGGAGTTGGCTCTCATGCTCTCTCCACTACTCCTCCCTCTCGCTTCTGCGTGTGCTTGTTTCTGCGCGCTCGCGAATTTTTACTAATCATTAGCAATATAATATATCTCTACAACTGTTGATGTGGCTATTGAACGATCTCTAGTAAACTCACAATACTAGTAGATTTGGCCAGAGTAAATACTCATTTAACGGGATATTATTTATTTGAATGAGATATAGAAGACATTAGCCCCTAAAGTTTTGGTCGGAGTAGACTTTAATTTTCTCAGGTTACAGAATGTCTTAGTTAGGCCCATCAGGATTTGGTACAAGGACCTATTATTTTTTTGTTTATATGAATGACCTTGCCCAGCAAGTATCGTCTGGTTTATTATTATTCGCTGACTAAGTGGAACGTTGGAGATAATTTTGGACCGTATTAATAAGCTGGTATTTCAGAAGGACCTGATTCTACTTCAACGTAAGGTGGATAAAAGCCGACCAAATTTAAACACTTCAAAGTGTAAAGTATT